AGGTATATCTTTTAAAGAAAACTAATGCCTATATCAATAAATTGTCAATCTGCAGCTGAAATTTCATGTTCATTTCATTGATAGACTGCATTGTAAAAATTGTTTGCTCAAATTAAGATGAGCTTTTACCCTCATTAGTCTCAAGTATGCAAGGTATGTAAAGGAAATATATTAAAATATATGAGCACTCTGTGCCATTAATTATTCTAAAAGAAAATAATTAATTAAAGCTGTCATCCTCTTTCCCTCATTTCCATTTTCAAAAAACAAACTGAAATAATTTCGGGGGGGGAAAGGGCATGATTTTTTTTTTCATTAAATCTCCATGAGCACTTACTCTAATTCCCCTTCAGCTGTCTGTTTCCAACAATAATCGTTGGGTAGCACAAGCCAATATATACATGCATAGTTGTACATCATTATTTTCTTAATACAATCCTATGTTTCCTACTCAGCTGTACAGGGATGTGATTTACAATAAAAATAGTTACAGTAAAAGAACAAAATAATAATTAAAACAATAGAAATCATGTTTGTTAAAAATATGGGAGGGAAAACAGGGAAAAAATGAAATAGAACCATTCATCCAGTTTTATCCAGCAAAAACGTGGGGAAAACCTCAGGAGGAGCCGAAAGATGCAGTTGTAGGCATCTCATAAATTTTAGAAAAGGTGTGCTGTGCTATCAGATTTAACAGAAACCACCCCTTTTCTGTTGAATTCAGTGAGATCTATCTATAGGTAGATCTTCACACTGGATCCATAGTAATATCCTGTTCTCTTTCAATATTGCAGGCAAGAAGTCAAATTCAAAATCTAGTTATACCAGTATCTCCACTTACAGCCATTTCTATTATTTTTGCTTGTCAGCGTTCATTTCAAATCATATGGACGAATCCATAGATACTTAAAGGAATATTGCTTTGCCTGCCTTATAAAGTATTCAATGAATGTTGGGGGGGGGGCAGGGGGAAGGATTTAAAATGGAATAAGTAATGGACAAAAAAACCCATATTCTGTACTTCCTTCATTTTCCACTCAGAAAACACTCCTGCTCAAAATCCCTTGGGGACACTCATCAACCTAATGCATCTCAATTTAAGCTTATTTTACAGGTCAGTGGCTTTTTCTCCGCATGTCTGTTTTTAGACCCAGTAAAGGAACAGCAATACCTACCAAAGGCAACTCAGTGTCCCTGGAACTAAGACTATATTCTGACACATTAAAAGGACAAATTCTGACCCAGCTGTTATCTAGGATTAATTTCTTGCTAGAATTTTGACTGTGCCAAGGCCAAGTTATGCACCTGACTATATAACTGACTGATTCCTTATTCTGTTATTTCTAAGATCTCATTGTGGTCATCCCAATATTTTCTATTCTCATTTTTGCAATCTACTTTAGCTAGCTCAACCTTTTTTTCAGTGCGGTGCTCATAGGCTAGCCAATAAGACCTGTGAAGGTGATGTGGGTACCAGAGAGCAGGTCCATTCAGTTGTGGCATATACCTTTGTAATTTCTTGAAGAGGAAGTTATCTCCATTGATAGACTATAAATGAACTTTGAGCACGTTTTTATTCCATTCAACATAAGGGAGGTATAGCTTAACCAAACTTGCAACAAACCTCTGTTGTTGTAGCCAGTCTTAATAAAAAATAGTTTTAGCCCTTTTATGGAATTGATTTTTTTGGTCTAGTCCACCTAGTGCAGGGGTAGGCAATCTTGGCTCTTTTATGACTCGTGGACTTCAACTCCCAGAATTCCTGAGCCAGCATGGCTCAGCTTGGAAACCTCTCCATTTCCCCTCAGCATGGCTGGCTCAGGAATTCTGGGAGTTGAAGTCCACGAGTCATAAAAGAGCCAAGGTTGCCTACCCCTGACCCTAGTGGAGCTAAGATCATGATGAAATGTGATATGATAGTGTTTGTAGTGCTGTAGTAAGCTCTGTGCTGCTGCTTTTACTCTCATTAGAAATTAATAGTTTAGTAATATTGAGGTTAGTAATCTTTATGTATGTTACCTTATTTTACAGGATTTAGCTTTAAAGGGGCTTTTAAAAAGTAGGAAATAAGAAAATAAAGCAAAACAATTATATATTGTTGCCTTCAAAACAATTACCTATACATACTTCTAATCATCCTCCAAAGTTACTTCCCTTCTGCTAAGGACAAGTCAAAATTTGTTCCAAAACAGCATGCCTTGAGAGAGAGAAACACACAACTAGAGCAGAATAAATTTCCAAGCACAATGCATAATTTATTATCCTGAAAGTTTACTAATATATTGTCTGACAACAATTCAAGAACTTTATGGAATCATAATTCTAGAAATAGACCCAAAGTCAAATATATGAATGTAATTCAAATATATAAGAGGTTGGTCTTCCATAAACGGCCAACGTTCTGAAATGTTTACTTACTATTCTCAACATGATTACTATGGGTGTGTAAGCAGAAAGTAAACTTATGTTGTTGTGCCTAGCAACTATGACAGCCTGTGGCAATACTCACCCAGTTTATCTACAGCTTTTCTTAGGTAGGTGACCATATAAACAGAGCCTGTGATTTCAGCCATTAATCTTTTATTTTTATTTTCTAAGAACAACTATGAGGCACAGATATTCTTGTGTAAGCAAGGATTTTAAATGCTAAGGCATAGGACCTAACATTTATTAAACAGGTTCTCTAGGAGTCACTTTGGGAATGCAAAGTTTAACATATTTGGAGGCCTTGAAAAGTTGGCCAAGATATTCGTCTCTGCAGGGGAGGGCAAATGTGGGGCAGATAAAGAAGAAAAAGGAATAAAAAAAAAGCTGTATTTTAAGAAATTCTCTTAAACTGCTCCTGATGCATTTTTTAATAAAACAAGGTTTATTACAGTACAGTATATGGAGGTTGTGATTAATTCATTTTTCAAGGTAAGGTGGAACCAATTAATTAAATATAGAATCATGTTGTATTTTAAGTAAATACCAATTAAATCCATTTTAAGTAAATACCATTTGAATCCAATAACTGAAGACTAGAGAAACTCAGCAGTGCTTCCCCACTGTAAATGGGACTGACTACTGATTAGATTCAAGTGCAATTTCCATTTCCAACCATTCAGATGAGCATGCACTGAAAAAGCATAATTTGTTCTATTGGTTTGCTTATTTATTATTAGATTTTTAATCGCACTCTCATTACTTTATAAGTAACTCAAAGCATTGGATGTATATAATACTCCTTCCTCGTCTTATTTTCCATACAACAACAACCCTGTAAGGTAGGTTGAGCTAAGAAACAGTAACTGATCCAAGTCATTCAGCTGGCTTTCATGCCTAAGGCAGGACTAGAACTCACACTCTTCTAGTTTCTAGGCCAGCCTCTTAACCACTATACCAGACTGGCTCTCTTCATTTCCTACTCCAAAATTCCATTCTTCATAGTATACAACATTTCTGAAGAGATCAGTGTACTGACTTCCAGGGAACCAATGGTGGACTGGAGACAACCTTGGTAGATTGAGGAGCTGGTGAATGGAATTCCTCTCCAGAGTAAAGAGAGGACCAGGGCTGCCCACAAGTGCTCCATACAGTGGTTCCCCGTGATAAGAGTGTAAGACAGTGGCCTCCATTGGGTTTTAGATTGCTGAGAATCAGAGGAAAGTCATCACTGCCCAAGTTGCAGTATGGAGCTTTTATGGAGACAGGGTTCGCATACTTCCTTTCCTACTCACTACCCACTTGAAAACAGAACAAGGGACGGTTGTTGCTAGAGTATTTTTTTAAAAATGGATTAAATGTTGGTGGTATATTTTAACTTTCTGACAAATCCTTTAGCTGACTAAATGAAGTTTGGTCAATAAACCAAAGTGTCAAGGCTACTCATAATGCAGTTCTACTCACAACGTGACAATAGAAACGAAGGGAGCAGGGAGGAGAATGCTTGGAATGCATTGGGAGCTGGGAGGGAGGTGAGGCATTTATGTGAGCCATTTGCAGCCTGAGAAGATCCTGATGCTTCAAGGCTGTGAGATGGGAACCTTCCAAAGGTGCAGAGTTTTCACAAAATGAAAAGAACATGTTCAATTGGTGGACAATGGACAATGGGTGGCCCAAGTGAGGAAAAAGGGAAGATTAACTATGATGTTTTTTGCATGAAAACCTCAGAGCTAGCTTCGCTTCTTCTGTGCCTGTATAGATCTATAAGTAAAGTTATACTTTTGGTAAAATAATGTCCCAGGAGTTTCTTTTGCTGCATTTGTCAAGAGGACAGTTGACACCAAAGCAAAATACAGATGTACTCCAGTTACAACCATTCATTCAGCAACTGCTTAAAATTATTATGGTGTTCAACAAAAGGATTTACAACCAGTCCTTAAATTTCTGGCCAATGCAGCACCCCTAGGTCATGTGATTGCTGACCTTCTATGTCAGCTTCCCACAAGCAGAGTCAATGGGGACACTGATAGGGTAGGTCACTAGTTGCTTGGGTAAGTCTTCTCATGGCCTTTTCTCATTCACATGCATAGACCCAATAGTGTCCTCCTTCTCCAGCCTTTCCTCATTCACACTAGAATGAACCTACCAGTATTGTCCTTTCCTAGGCCTTCCTGCACTCACACTCATGCACACACCCACCAGCATCCTCCTTCCCCAGCCTTCCTGCGCTTGTGCCTCACTATGACACACACCCCTAACTCATGCACAGGCCTCACAGGACTTTCCTCACCTCCCCTTCCTTGTGCTCCATACATGGGTCATCCTCCACTTTCTGCTTAATGACATATGTGTTTCAGAGTTATGACAACTGGGGCTACCTCGACTTCTGTTACTAATCAATGCAGTCACATGACATTGTATTTTATGATTGCAACACTTTGCAACAGCAATCCCAGGCCCAATTGTTGTCATAATACTACATGTATTAATTTACAGGTTTTTTAATGTTAATGGTTCCTTAATCATCTAATTTGGAAGCTAGCACAGAAGTTATGAATGGTGCTTGAGTTTCTTACCTTACGGTAAACAATCATATTTGGAGAACTGTCCTCTTGCTCAGCAGTATCCATCTCACTGGATCCTTGGGCCATGATGAACACACCTCTTCCCAAACAGGCTGCAAAGGCAAGAATAGTATGCAATAGTATATTGTAAAAAAATAGGCTATAGAATGCATCCCAAAACCAAATATACAGATATAGCAGGCTGTTCTAAATAAAATGTACTCACCTGCCTTATTCCTGAAATAAATATGCTCTGTCAACATATTCTATTATATGATGCCTGAAAGGATTTGATTTTGCTCTGACTGGCAATCCAGCTGTAATCATTTTGTTATATGATGCCCAAGCAATAATAAGTTTGTGTACTCCATTACAGTATAGATTTTTTTTCTTTTGCTTTTTTAAAACTCCAGGTCATCTTTTAATGACAACAAAATCAAGTCCACATCCACACTGGGTTCCCTGGGATTTTTCATAAGAATTCTGCTATTGTGGATACTACCAGATCTCTGTGAAGATCGGTGGATAACTTGGTGGAAGAAGCAAAAAAAAAAAAAAAAGAGAGAGATTTACTCAATGGCAACTTGTGTGGATATTCTAGGATACTCTATTGCTCTGCAAGTGAGCAAACACTCATAATGGCAGAGAAAGCAAGCTGATTTGGTCAACAGCAAAGGCTATGGAAGTAGTCAAAGCCTCACCACATCTTTGTATCCATGGTCAACAGTAAATCAAAGCAATAGAAAGAACAGAAAGTGCAGGAATGGCAAAGAAGTGGGCTCATGACTTGTCAACTTCTTGGAAGGGGAAAACACTTAACCTGAGCCCTCTTTTGTTAGTATTTATTTTATTCTCCATGATACAATCAAAGCAGAAGGAGCTGATTATAATGATAAGAGGAAGCTCTCTAGAAACCAGTTTGGGAAAGAACCCAAGAACTTCTCTTTTCCTTATATGCAACCTGCTGCTTTCTTGTACCTCACGAATACTTAACCATTTTGGTTGGACGTTCCCCTCTCTAGTCTGCCAGGAAACACAGAGGTGGGAGGATGGTGACATGACATCAAGGGAGAAGATGCCATGTCACCAGCTCCAGTTTTATGACTGATTTGTCAATTTTATACCACAGTTCAGAAAAAGTATCGCTAAGTCCAAGAGGTCACCCAGACAGTGACAAGCAGAATCAAAAAATGATTTTCCTTCAGAAAATAGATGTTTTTCCAGAAAGAGGACATGAAAGTAGGAGCATTAAACTATATTAAATTAATGCAATGAAACAATGAGACACCAAAAAGAATTTTTCTCCCAGATTGCATCACTAATAGCGATGAGTGCAACAGTAAAAATATTTAAATATGCCAGGTGATTATATTCATGCATGATAAATAAAATAAACAAAATATAGAAATACTGATGGAAAATTAAAATTATCTGCCTTCATAATCAATGAGACACCAATCTTTTAAAAGCGATCCAAAAAATTAAAACCTGATACCTTTCATGTGTATTCTGGATAATTTGGCGGAAGATACTATCTCAGTTGCAATCAAGCATATAGGACAGTATGCTACTGAGTAATGAAGAAATGTAGCCTCTATTACTCCAATCAATAAGAGCTCTAATATCTTAACAGTGAATCTATACTTCATCTTTTACACACTGAACTCACAATTATTTCATGGTATCATGCAGTCAGCCAATAAAATGGGGGGGAAAAAACATTTCAGAAGGAAGCATTGTAGAGGTTGCTATGTGACACTGCTTCCCAGACAGTGCTTCCCAGAATTACCCCAAATTGGGTAAAAATGGTTTATCTTTGGATAACAACATATGAACCCATTAATGGTTTTGCAGAGCTTAGGTCAAGCAGTCAGTGCAAAAAAAAAAGAAAGAAAGAAAGAAAAGAACCATTTGGAGTCTTTACTGTTAATAATTCAAAATGAATATCCTGAGGCCGTGGTGCAATTATTGCTATTTCCAAGCACCTACACAGTGTGGGAAGTTGGAGTTTTCACTCCAGCCTTCGTAAAGGGCAAAAAATGAGACTGTTTGCAGAACTCCAAAAATGGTTTAAGCTAAGCAAGGAAAAAGACTGGGAAACACTGCCACATGCCTTGATGGGGAATCATGACCCCTTTATGACTTGTGGACTTCAACTCCCAGAATTCCTGAGCTAGGATGGCTAGCTCAGAAATTCTGGGAGTCAAGTCCAAAAGTCATAAAAGGGCCATGTTCTCCACTCCAGACTTAGTCAAATATCATAGTGACAGTATAAAATGCTTGAATATTTTGGCCTCTGCTGAAAAAGATGGAAAGCAGGTTTTTCTTTCCAAGAAAAATCTTGCAAAAGTGACTATACTACCCATGCTCCCAGTGAGCCTTTTCCATTAAACTAGTGCTTAGGCAGAAATAGGTCCTCTTTGAATTATATAGAGAAGAAGCACAAAACAAAAATGCTCAATTAAATATTTAACAATAGATGTTAATTCCCATGCAATATAAAACCAAGAAATTACTTCTATTCCAGAATATCAAAATACAAGATGTATTCAACTCTGTCATGACTGCATGCATGCCTAATTAGAGAAAGAAGAAAGGTAAAAGGGAACGTTTATTATTTTTGCTAAAAAGCAAAACCTTAGGAAAAAAATCAGTCCATAACCAAGAATTGTTTCATCATTTAGCTAGAAGATGCAAAAAATGATATCTCTTATTTTATGCCTGAAGGATGTTTAAATAAATCAGAGTATTTTCTCATGCAATCTTATACATGAATATGTATGAGACAGTTCCACTGTGTTCAATGGGACTTTCTCATAGCTTAGTATATCTCATTAATGAATTCAGTAAGACTTGATTTTGAGTAGACATAGAATTGTACTTGGTTATTTTTATCACCCAGAAAACTATCCACTGGGCAGTGATTTAGATTCAAAAGGCAAAAAGAGATTTAAAGTGGACATTGGCCACACATGTACTGTTGGAAAGAGGTTAAAGCAAGTTTGTCCTCATCTAGGCTTCTGTAAAAAAATATGCATTTGTCTTAAGGAATTAACAACCAGCACTATATGTACACCCAGACATTCTCCAAATCTCATTATGTCCTTCAAATCTGGACCTCAGTACAACCCTATGAAGCACTTTAGTTAAAAACAGGACATAAAAATGAGCTTGCAAATGAAAATATAAACTTTTCTTCAAATTCAACTGCCCCAACTCATTAAAAAATTGCATTAAGAACTGGATGGAATTATGCAGAAAGATGCAGATCTGATATACAACACAAGTGGATTGCATTTATTATGATATATAGTTTATCAGGTAAAATATGCTTCCATTCATAGACATATGGACTAAGGTGAAAAAAATAGAGTGGCTTGGAATATGCTTAAAACACATGCTAAATTGACATGAGAGCTGGGACAATTTGATAAAATATTTTCATCCCAAACGTATTTTCTACTTAAGCAAAAAGTCTTGGAAACTGGGACTAAAGCTCCATTTCTGTTATTAATATTCTATGTGGATCCTTTCTGTTTATTGCATAAATTAATATGAAGATTTTTAGACCTATTCAAATAAAAGAAGTTTTATAAATAAGCAAAACAAATAAATAATTATTCCAGTTCAAATTTCTCTACCATTTTGTTTCCTGAAGCAGACTGGAATTACCACAACCCATTATAAAACAATACAGGCGATGGGTAAAAGCTGCTTCAAATATTGCTTTCCTCAAGCTACTATTTCTGTATGTTTGGATCACAATTCTTGCCTTCTTCACCTAACAAGCCTGGAGAATGAGGAAAACTGTGCTGGTTATGTAGAAGAGCATATGTCCTAAGATCCAGATGACTTCAACTCTGCTAGTTTTTCATAAGGAACTGAAGACTTGGTTTTCCTCCTGGGTATAGGCCAATAAGTTAAGTCAGCCCTACATACTGTATACGTGCTATTCCAAACATATATGTTTTAATTTTTGTTGGATATTTGTTGCTGTGTTAACTGGATATTACTCACCAATGTTGCATAGCCACTGACCATACCATTGAATAAATGAATATACACATTGTGCCCAACAGATCGGGAAGGACTGCTCTAATCTTTCACATCTGCAAACTTCACCTTCACATTCAAAGGACCACTATTACAAGCAATATTTTATGGAGAAATCTTCTTTACCTGCCATGGTAGGTATCCTAGAATCAGAGCTGGAAGGGACATTAGAGGTCTTCTTGTATCATGGTGTCCAGAACTGGATGTAGTATTCCAAATGTGGCCTTACCAGTGCAGTATAGAATGGTACGATCACTTCCCATGTACCTGATGTTATCCCTCTGTTGATGCAGCCTAGGACTATGCTGGCTGTTTTGGCAGCTGCAGCACATTGCTGACTCATATTTAAGTAGTATCCACCTGAACTCCTAGATCCATCTCACAAACTTGTGCTAGGTACTGCTTATCCTGTACCTGTGCATCTGATTTTTCCATCCATAAATGTAGGACCATGTTTTTCTCATCACTGAACTACATCTTGTTGGAAATTTTCTTGTGGCCAGAAACTTACTCCAAGTTTATTCCATGGATGAATACCATGATTTGGGCACTAAAAAAATATTACCCTAAAGGATATTATCAACAATTCAAGATATATCTCAATGGCCCAATTTGAAATGGCACACTCTACTTTTAATTCTCATCAGCTCTAAAAACTAAAATCAACAACAGCGAAATCTTTTTTATCATTAGTGATCTCAAATGAATTAATCAATACATTTTAGGATTACTGGATTTATAGTTCTACACAACTCACCTGGAGAACCTAAACTGGAGAGATTAGAATGCTTCAGACTGATTTCATGAAGGTCTAACTACCAAAGATTCTAACAGAAAAGTTATAGTCATCTTGGGGAATGACTATTCCAATTTGTCTGAATAACATTTTAAGTCATCTCTGAACAACAAGAGGGAAATGACAATTATTTATAAGGGATATATTTCAGAAAGAATGGCTGGTCAGGTGGTATAAACTGGGATGTATAATTGAGTCCAATGGGACTTTATGGGATTGATTTCACTTACTTGTTTTTTCTGCAGGTATTCTGTCTTCCCATGT